TTCACAGGAGAGTCCCCTCAACAGTTACCTGTGTCAATAGTGCTGTTCTTGAGAATGGCACCTGCTCTCCAGGTGTTCACTCAGAGTATCCCATGTTAGAGCTGAGGAGTAACGAGACAGAGGCACAAAGTGGTGCCTTTGGTGCTCCCAGAGCAGCTCAGTGTAGCAATCACTTAAACATCAGAATTACGTACTATTTTAACACCCAACACTAAAGGGAGGCTCCTGAGGGTCTGACTTTGGTGAGAAACGCCTTTTGAAAACAGTGTTCCTCTCCAGGGGGGAGTGATGTGGAGGTGGGTGGGTAGGTACCAAAACAAGATTTAAAAGAGTTTTCTATAGGGGTTTATAACAGTAAAGCATCAGTTTTATTTCCAAGCTATTTCTCAGGGACTATGTGAAGGAAAAGTGCTAAGTCTAGGGATGGGAGAAATCTTACTTGGATGATGAGTAGAGCCAGAATGGCAAGCCTGGCAGTTAGGTTTCTAGAAGGAGACTATTAGGAAAAGAAATGCCTAGCATGGTCGGGTGGCTCAGTTGGCTGGAGCATCGTCATGTTCACCAAAAGGTTGTAGGTTCGATTCCCAATCTGGGCACATAGCTAGGTTTTGGGTGTGATACCCCATTGGAGCGAGTACAGGAGGCAACTGATCAATGTTTCTCTCTCACATCTATGTTTCTCTCTCTCTCTCCCCTTCCATTCCCCTCTCTCTAAAAACCAATAAAAACATATCCTTGGGTGAGGATTTAAAAAAAAACAAAAAACCTAGAACATCCCCCTGAGTTTGTAAGGTGAATTTTTTGTTGAATGACACGTATAATTTTAGAGGTGTATCGTAAAAGGGCATGGATTAAGTTTTTTCTCACCATGAGTTTTCTGGTTTGGGTGGTATGAGCTTTGGAGGCAATCTCTTCATTCATTCATAAACTCAGGCTACCAAGGAGTTTGAAAGATCAGTAATCTAGATACTCTCGTAATAGTGGTGCTTACTGGCTAAGAGCAGGGACCCTTGAATCAGACTGGCTTTGAATCCTGGCTCTGCTGTTTACCAACCTTATAGCCTTGGCCAGTATAGTAACTCTTTAAGCCTGTGTTCTTATCTGTAAAAGGAGTATAATAGTATTAATGAGGTTGTTTGAAGGTTAACTGAGTTAATATATGTAAAGTACTTAGAACACTGGTATTTAATAAGATCTGTTTAAGTGTGCGCCATTATTGTTATTATCAGTCTTTTTCTTACCTCTTTTTCATATTTGCTTACACCCACTGGCAGATTTTTTTCCCTTTGCTATCAGTGCCATGGGAAGAGCCAGTCAATCAACTATTTTGACCATCTGCTGCCCTACAGGGTCCTAGATGTGGGGGCTGCAGAGATGCCCGGGAACATTAGGCTTGATTCATTGGGTCAGATCTGTGCTCAGGCTGATGAGCCATAGACTAAGTGGCCATCTTAAAGAGTGTGTGGCCCGAACATGGCTCTAGGAGAGGCATGATGGATGCAAACAGACAGATCTAGGGGTTAGTGGGTCTGGGTGCCAATGCTGGTGGGCTCCCCTTACCAGGCTGTGGCTCATAACATGTTTGAACCATAGTTTCTTCACTTCTGGAATGGTAATCATACAACCGTTTTCACAGAGTTATTGTGAGAACTAAATGTAAGAGATGAGATGTATAAAAATCCCGGGTACACAGTAAGTGCTCAGTATTGCCTGAAGCTATAATAAATCTGTAGGCCGTGAGTTCATTTTACCTCTGTGGAACCTGCGGATTTTTTTGATCATGTCACCTACTGCAGTCATGTCCCATCTGGGCCACTTCCTGTGTCAAATAGAATTTTATATGTGGCCTCTGGGGTTGGACAGAAGTGGCTGCTAATCTCAACCCTGCCAATGGACCAGCTCTATGATGACCCTCCCTTGAGCTTTAGCCTTGGATTCAATGTAATAATCTGTATATGGTGTGCTTACTACATAAATGGTAGCTACTATTTATCCTAAAAGCACAAATGGTAGTTTCAGAACTTAAGTTTGATGCAATCTTACTCATCTTCTTCATTTACTTTTTTTCTGAGTTTATCATTCTTTTCTGAATTTATCCCCAGTTATGCCATTTTTAACAAGTTTTAGTCCTGTCTGGGTGATATTTGTGATTTTATTCGGCTGTAAGCTTGGAATGGATATAATTTTGTGTGCTGCTTTTTTCACTTAATATTATATGGTTAACAGTATCTGTGTTTCATAAACATTGTTGTAATGGCTGCCTACAGAATTGCTGAGTAGATGTACCATAATTTAATCATCTCCCTAGTGCTGTGCAATTATTCTAGTATTTTTCATTTATAGTGTTTCAGTGAACAAATACATATATGTAGCTTTTTTGACATTTTGAATTTAGTTCTATAGATCATAGCCCCAGTCATATTATTTGGTCAAAGGAGATAAACATGTCTTCTGATACATTTGGCCAAATTGCTTTCCCAAAGGGCTCAACTGATTTGTATTTCCATCTTCCTTATTTTATAAACTTTAGTTCATTCTCTTACTCAACAAGCATTGTTAAGCTCTCAGGGTGTGGTAGGCCAAGTGAGAAGAAAGTGACACTAGGGGAGAAGCTCCCATATAAATAGGGTCCCTGCTGTGCCAAGTGCTGATAAAGGCAGAGAGTATCTGGGGACCCTCTGCCCCTTCCCAGAAGGGACTTCCACTCAGCAGGCAGGAGAGGCCCCATGTCATTGGAGAGCTTGCAGATTTCAGTGTGTGTTGCCTCTTTGGGATCATTTACGTTACTACTTAGCAAGACCAGCTCCATCTTTGGTCTTGGAGACTCTAGTCACAGCATGCCTTCTTTCAAAGAGGGACCCATTTGTCTTTTATGTTTTTCCTGGTGTGCTGTCTATAGTATACTATTCCTCATAGTTAGAGGCTAATGGTGGGTGTGTTTTTTTTGTTCCATTTATGGAAAATTTAGGAAAGCATTTAAAAAATTACCCATTTTCTTATCACCTCAGGACATACACTGTTATCACCCTTATATTGCTTTTCAAATAGAAGATTTTTTTTAAAAGGTTAATGCGGAACTATATCAAAGGCGTTTGCAAATTAAAAATGGGCTGTTTAAAATTCCAAAAATCCAACAATAAATAATAAAGAGAAACCCCAAGACAATCTGAAGCACCAGCAATCAGCAGAAAGGTTAACTTAATTACAGTCCATTCACAGTGTAGAATATTAAGTGGTCATTAAAACCCATATTTTAGGAGAATATTGTATATAATGGAAAACACTCCCAGCATGATGCTAAATAAAAAAGCAAAATACAAAACTATATATGATATCTAATCTCAATTTTGTAGAAAAAATATTATTTATGTATGCATAGAATAAAAGACAAAAAATGTTAACAGAGAACCATTGTTAGCTCAATTTAGTAGGGATTCTTGCTGCAAAGTAGGACTGGGGTGGTTTATATCTACTTAAACATTTTTTTAATTTTGATTTTTCTACAAAAAATATATATGGTCTTGAGGGTGAAGAAAATAATTCTATTAAAAGAGAATAGGGAGGGGGATTTTATACCAGTGTCTCTTGGTTTTATGGTGCTGAAGCCACAGTTGTAATTACTCTTAACCACAGGCCTCATCACTCTTTTGGGCTCTTGATGTTCATCCTAATTAGAACATCAGAGTCTAGAAATGAGAGGAAGAAAGAGGTGAGAGCCTTCAGGTAGTGTAACTACAGACGGTCCCCAACTTACGATAGTTTGACCTAACAATTTTTCGACTTTACAATGGTGCGAAAGTGATACCCATTCAGTAGAAACCATACTTTGAATTTGGACCTTCTTCTGGGCTAGCATTTGCAGTACAGTCTCTCTCGTGATGCTGGGAGCAGCAGTAAGTTGCAGCTCCCAGCTGGGCACACATTCACAAGAGTAAACAACCCACACTCTACAGTGTATTCACTGTGTGAGATGGTTTTGCCTAACTGTAGGCTAATGTAAGTGTTCTGAGCACATTTAAGTCAGGTAGGCTAAGCTATGATGTTCAGTAGGTTAGATGTATTGAATGCATTTTCGACTTACAGTATTTTCAATTTACAATGGATTTACTGGGACATAACCCCATTGTAAGTAGAGGAGCATCTGTAGTTGTCTGAACACCAGTGGTTCAATTAAATTCTGTCTAATGATTTCCATCCTGTCCCTGTGCTTTATTTATCCCTTGGTAACTCATTGAGGCAGGGTTTTCCTTTAGAGAAACCTCGTTGCTTTAACCTGTGGATCGGACTTACTTACACGTTTAATGATCTTCTACCCACTGGAGAAGATGTTGACCAGATCTTGCTGGATGGAGGTCTTTGCACTCTGCACTCCTCCCAGCTCTTTCCAGTCCTGGGTGTGTGGAGGTCAATATGGAATTCTGTGTGAATTTCCATTGTCCTTTGGAACCCTCTTCTCAGCCTCATGGGGGGGGGCAACTTTGTATGCATTTGAAGAACAGAGGTGGTGTGCATTTAGCACAGTAAGGCCCGAAGGCCCTGGCCTTCCTCTTCCAATAAATGAACATCATTGTGTACCTGAAACTGCTAATGCTGGGGATACAGAGATGACTGGACCCAGTGCTTGCCTGCAGGGAGCTCATATTGCTGTGAGGAAACCAGTGATAGAATCAGATGATTTCAGGGGCACAGTTCCTGTGGGAGCTCAGGAGAAGGACATTATGTCTGTCTGAGACTTGCAGAATGAGCAGAAATGAGCCAGATGACACAGGATGGGCAGCGTCTTCCCTTTCTCAAGGAAAACATGGAGGGCTGGAATAGTATGCCACAAGGTGAGAACTGCAGACAGTAAAGTGGTATGAAAGCTTAGAGAGTGGTGGGAGAGACTGGAGAAGTTGATCAATTGCTGAGTTAATTTATCTGTGGATTTCCCAAAGCCCAAAAGTGTCAGGCATCCGTATTACTGTTTAAACTCACAATGCTCTGTCTTATTTCCCTCTCAGTGTCAGTTGTTGCTGGAAGTGGCCTGGCCTCTATTTATCTTCCTGATCCTGATCTCCGTTCGGCTGAGCTACCCACCCTATGAACAACATGAATGTGAGTATCTGAGCATCCTGCCTGAGGCTCTCCACTGGCAATAGAGATCCAGGCCATGGGCGTGGGCTAAATTTGACCTCTCCTGAGACACTATCTTTAGGAAACACTGTAAATGGGTTGGAGCAGAAAAGTTAGGCTCTCAATTTTTGGATAAGTCCTGAACTCAGGAAACTATTCTCAATCCTAGGGAATGGTGATAATGGTAACTATAATAATAGCCAATGTCTGTACATTTTAAATCACAAAAATAACCTTATTGATAGCTCAGAACGTGGTGATTAACAAAGGTCCCTAGGGCAGTGTCTTGACACCACTGTCAGCTGCCTTTATTACACAGGTGCAAATCATGGAACATACTAGTAATTCTAAGCAGCATTTGCGTAGAGCAGAGGTTCTCAACCTCTGGGACGCGACCCCTTTGGGGGTCAAACGCCCCTTTCACAGGGGTCGCCTAAATACATCCTGCATATCAGATATTTACATTACGATTCATAACAGTAGCAAAATTACAGTTATGAAGTAGCAACGAAAATAATTTTATGGTTGGGGGTCACCACAACATGAGGAACTGTATTAAAGGGTCGCGGCATTAGGAAGGTTGAGAACCACTGGCGTAGAGCTTCTCAGATCGACTAATATTATTTTATTTGATTCTCATAACAGCCTTGTAAAATAGACTTGATTATTATCCTTTGCTTGATAAGTTCTTTGGGGCTCAGCGAAGGGCAGGGACTTGCCCAAGGTCACACATCTAGTAAGTGACAGAGATGAAGTAAAAAGCTCAGGTCCTCTGACTCCCAAATCCTGTGTTTTGATCGTAGCCTTTATAATGAGCATAGAGAATACAGTGGTGGCCAAGGACACACGCTCTAGATGTCAGGTTACTTGGGTTTGAATTATGGCTTCAGCAATTACTGGGTATATCACATTGGGCAAGCGACTTCGCTTCTTGGTACCTGAGTGTTCTCATCTCTATAATAACAACCATATAATAATCCCTATGCTATCTGGTTGTTGTTATTCCACAATCACGTCTTTCTCTCCCGGCTGGGTAGGCTGGATGGACTGACACGACAGAAATGTCCCAGAATGATCCACATTTATGTAGAAGGTTTAGCTGGAACCTCTGTTCCATTGCTCCTGTAACTTTCCCTCTCATTAACCAGCTCTCCCCACACCCTGCCAGCCTCCTGGACTTAGGGGATATGTAATGGTATAATATATCATGTTTCTGTCACATATGGACTTATAGGATCCTGTTCTTCAGGAAATGGGTGGCTCTGGGTCACCTGTTAATTGTGTTCTTGGTCTGGTCCATGGCACACTGAGGCAGTCATTTACCTGCTAATTTGCTAGTACACATTACATATACTCGAGTTTTAGAAAGAATGCCACACAACCTCAGGAACATTCTACCAGATGTGATTTTCAGATTTCACCAGAGAGGGAAAAAATATAGAATGAAATGCACACTCAGTTTGAGAGCCTGGGAGGTAATTCTGTCTTCGCTTTTGGAATCCCAAAGATTGATGAGTAATTGCATATTTGATTTTATTTAAGCATTGCCCTAAGCCCCACTGAGATGGGAAAACTCAGTTTTTTCATCTGCTTGGCTGTTCTCTCTCTGGAATGATCCCAAGTAGGCAAGATGGTGTAGTAGGAACAGGCCGACTTTGGATCAGACAGAAATTGGGGTCCGCCCCTCTGGTTTGCTGCCTCTCTTATCTCTGAGACCTGCTGAGGTTGTGATTTGAACAGGTTGTTGAATTTTAACCCAGAGTCATCTGAATCTAGGCCATAGAATCTCAGAAATGCTGTGGAATGTTCATACCTATAGAAGGCAGATAAGACGTTTGCCTCCCACCTATGCACTTCTTACAACCTCACCTACTGTTCTAGGGATCTGGGTGGAAGGTGGATTGCTTAGGCGAATCTTGCAGAGCTGTGCTGTCTCTGGAAACAAAGGATTGGCATATAATTCTTCCCCATAAATCTTTCCCTGTTTGACCCAGAGCCATCCGGGCCCTCATTACTTTCCTGGGTCCTACGATTCCATTATGCTATTTGATTGTCATCCTGTGCACCCTTGCCAAGTCATCTTCCTGCTTTTGCTTGCAAATAAGGTGGGACACAACACACAGGGAAGAATCTTTGCTTCACCCACCAGGTATCGCCTGAAATACCTTCACCTTCCATGGCCCTGTGCTGCTGGACCAACACCCACCCTGTCCGTGGTGGCAGAATCTCGGGGAGGTTAAAGGGGAGATTCCTGCGGTCCTTGGAGTAATTGGTTGGGTTACATAAATCTCCTGCATGAGGAGCAGCTGACTCAGGCAAGGGACCTTGTTTGGTTTTCCTTGAACTATTACCAGGGAGATAAGGAGGTTAACTGAGTAAATGTTGAACAGGCCAGAGTCCCTGCGGAGTGGCCACAGGGATCAGATCTTGTTACATCCTTGCTGAGGATGCTGACTCTCGGGTTGGAATATGGATAGAAGAAAAGGGCGGAGAGAAGTGCCCCAGTACTGAAATGCAGGGTAGCCAGTCTTGGCTGTGGGTTAGCTTCTGGGAAGACTCTTGTTAGCATATTTGCGTGAAAATAGTAAGATGAATAAAGCAGGGGTCCTGCTTTGGAGGAAGGTTGTGGCTGTTGAGATTTGGAGTATTCCTAGCAGGACAGTAGCAGAGTGAGGATGACTGTAGGCTCAGCACCGCAGCGCCTCAGTAATCCTGACAGCCTTTACACTGTGCCAGGCACTGAGCTGCGTGCTTTGCCTGTCAGAACTCCTGGGATGTCTCTTGCAGCCCTGTGAAGTAGATTGTATTTTTATCACCATTTTACAGATGAGGAAAATGAGAGTTGGCGGTTCAGTGACTTGGCCAAAGTCTCTGCTTCGTGTATTGCAGGGACTGGATGTGAATCCCAGTAGGTCTGACCCCCAAAGTCTGTGGAGCCCACAGCTCTTTGCTGCCTAGAGAGCCGTGGCTCTCAATGGTTGTTGACTATTTGGGGTCACAGATCACCCTGAGAATATGATGGGAGCTGCAGCATGGCCTCTCTGTCCAAAGGAATTCACACATGTTTGGTCCTCAGGTTAGGAGCTCCGGGGCACATTTATCATGATATCCTAGAAGCAGCACCAGGTCAGACTGTCCCCAAACCAAACTGTGCCTTTGATCAGCCAAGTGCACCTAGTCCTGCTGTTGGTCACATGCTCCTCCATAATGAAGGGAAAGGAGAGTGAGGAGATGACCTATTGAATGGGTCATGAGGTCATCATGGTTTCGATGAGGGACACGAGCAGCAGATGACCTCTGACCTCAATTAGCCTGTTTATTAAGTGCCTCTGAGGAGCTTGTGAGGTGGCAGAGGAGGTGACACCAAACAGTGGACAGTACAGAGGAACCTGAGAAGGGCTTAGGTGCACAGGGGGGCGCCAATACGAAGGAAGGAGCATGGATGTGGATGACGGAATTGTGGGTTCCACCCCCAGTCCTGCCCACGGGTTCCCTGACTGTTCTTCACCAGCCACTGCATCTTGCTGGTTTCCTCCTTAGAGAATGAAGGAATTGCATTGGATTAGGCCAGTAGTTCTCAACCTTCCTACTGCCGCGACCCTTTAATACAGACATTGGATTAGGCCAGTAGTTCTCAACCTTTCTAATACAGTTCCTCATGTTGTGGTGACCCCCAACCATAAAATTATTTTCGTTGCTACTTCATAACTGTAATTTTGCTACTGTTATGAATCGTCATGTAAATATCTGATATGCAGGATGTATTTTCATTGTTACAAATTGAACATAATTAAAGCATAGTGATTAATCACAAAAACAATATGTAATTATATATGTGTTTTCCGATGGTCTTAGGCGACCCCTGTGAAAGGGTCGTTCGACCCCCAAACGAGTCGCGACCCACAGGTTGAGAACCACTGGATTAGGCCATCCTCAGGGCCCCTCTGAAGAGTGAGGGGGACAGAGGGAGATGAACTGATGATCAGGTGCTAGCTGCACACCAGCCCCATTCTGCATATGGTCTAATCTACCCCTCTCGCCATGTCTCCAAGGTTTGTGCCACGAATCCCATTCTACACATGATGTTAAGTAGATCAAGAATCTGATGCCAGGTTTCCAACTCAGGGTCGGATTAGTTGGAGGTGGCAGGTCCCTGGGACATGGGGGAGGGACAGGCAGATTTGTGATGAGACGATTGATGAGACGGTATGGAGCCAATAGAGATAAGGATCAAGTCTCCAAACTGCTTCAGAGAACTGATGTTTCTCCTGTGCTTTTCTTCTCTATGTCAACAGGCCACTTTCCAAACAAAGCCATGCCTTCTGCAGGAACGCTTCCCTGGGTCCAGGGGATTATCTGCAACGCCAATAACCCGTGTTTCCGGTACCCAACTCCTGGTGAGGCTCCGGGCGTTGTCGGAAACTTTAACAAATCCATGTAAGTACCAGGTCAGGTTTTCTTTCCCAAACTTGTCAGTTAGTTCTTCTCTTCCCTTCTCAACCTCTGGAGAATTCTGAAGTTGCTTTCGTCCAGGTTTGTGCAATGAAGTCCGAAGAATGAGGGCAGGGAGAATTGCTGCCAGATTTAAGATTGTGGAGCTACAAGTCATGTGGCTGGGGGGCGGTCGGGGGTGTGGAGAGACAGTTTTCCTCCAAAAACTGACTGATAAGTTGGGAAGGGAAGACAAGGAGTGTGCTGGTCTCCTCTGGGGAGACCTCTGCTCCATGTGTCGGTTCACTCATTTAGCAGACATTCTCTGTGCATTTGAGCCGCCTGGCCTAGGTGCTGGGGAAGGGTAGGTAAGAGATGTGCACGGAAGGGGCCTGCTCTCCAGCTCACAGCCAAGGCCCTCTCCGTCCTCAGATCAGCTCTCTCTCTGTGGGTGCCTCTCATACTGCCACTGCCTGGTCTTTCTCTTCCCGGTGTGAATTTCCTGAGGGCCAGGATGTCACTCCCTTCACTTTTGTATTCCTGACTCCTGACTTCAACACTGAACATCAGTATGGGTTTAGTAAGTGTTTGCCGAATGAGCCAGTAAAGATTCCTGGAATGCACAGACCATGGTCGGAGTTAGAATGGACTGTAGGAGGTGTACCCAGACAGTCCTGGGGAAGCTGCAGGGCCATGTTATAATATCCACAGACCATGGGTATTGTAGTTTTCATGGCCCCTTCTATGCAGAAATATTAAAAACTTTATTTCATAAGTGTGTCGGTCTAAAGGTGAATATAACCCAAGCTGGGTTCATCTTATACATATTCATTCTGAATTTGGGGTTTTATTCTGCTTCTAAAAGAAATTAAATTTTTTTTGTGTGCACCCCAAGAGTAGCCTGAGTCCTGGGTACTATGCCCACTGTGTCTCATGGATAAGTGGGCCCTGGGGGAGTGTGTGTGTGTGTGGGGGGGCTTCCTGGAGACGAGGCACATGGGCTGGGCCTTGAAAGAAGTGGCAGGATTTGGTAGACACATGGGGAGGAGCATTTGGGGCTGGGCTGGGAGTGTTTAGAAGCCTAGAGTATCAGGGAAGCTGGGCATGGGGAGCAGCAGGAGTAGAGGACCTGGCAGCTGGGTTTCCTTCACGTGGGAGAGGCAGCTGGCCTAACAGAGCTTTTGTGCTTTTCTTGTCCTCCCTGCAGTGTGTCTCGCCTGTTCTCAGATGCTCAGCGGCTTCTCTTATACAGCCAGAGAGACACCAGCATGAAGGACATACACAAGGTTCTGAGAACATTGCAGAAGATCGAGAACAACAGCTCAAGTAAGCCAAAGCCTTGCTCTGTATCGGTGTATCATTGGAACTTGACCTGCCCCAGGGAGAGAGCAGCTCAGGCGGCCTGGTGCTTGCCCCTCTTAACTCTCCCCTGCTGGGTTTTCCTCCTCTGTGGCTGGGCTGGAGGCCTTTCTGCAGGAGGCATTTCAGGGGAAACTGGGAAAACAATGAGTGCCCTGGCCTCCTCCAGGTGACAGAAGAAAACCCCTCAGAGAGGAATGGCACAGGCCTGGGGTTAGGACGGCTTAGGGGTGCAGGGTGCTTCCAACTTCATTTCTCTGGAGTCTAGGCCATATGGTTGCAGTGAATGGGCCAATTTATAGACGGGGATATTTCTGTGCAGATAAGAACAATTAAAGTTGCAACTTGATATGGATAAGTGAAAGTAAGCATTTACTTCTAAAAGGAAAATGCAATTCATCTTCCCCCTGATTGAGCCTGATGGACATTTGAACTCCGATCTCTAAAAAGAGCAATCTTGATCTCGGATTGGATAAGTGCCGGGCATGCCATTTAAGGAAGTGTCTGCGGAGCAGGCAGTTTGTTGGCCAAGGTGTTGGCTGAAGAAGTCGTGGAGCGTCCAGGGCAGTGGCCTGCAAGGCGGCAGGGGGCGTGGGAGCAGTCCCCTGGGTGCAGACCACGGTGGTGTGCATGGTCTGCAGAGAATTTAAAAGCAAAAATGAAGCCCAGTGAAAGTCAGCCTTCTTTTTATCATCACCACGCACTGGTGGTTCTAAACAATGTCAGTGATCATGGGCCAGCTGCCGCCACTGCTCAAGGAAAGTTCTTTTTACTTAGTTTGGTGTTGTGGGTGGGCTGGCCTTCTCTGAAAGGCCTCCCGGTTTGGGATCCACTTGGCAAAAGAAGAAATGGTGTGAAGTGTTAGAGTTTAAACCAGAGTTGGATGGCAGACAGATCTGTCCTTTCCCTGGGCAGGGAAAGAGGCAGTGGGTGGTGCGGGGCCTGATGACAGAGGGAAGCGAAGCTGTGCCTGGTGGCACGGAGAAGGTGTCGCTTCACATCGGACAGAGGTGTGCTGGCACTTAGGGTCAGCGTCGAGGGCCCTCCAGCTGGACTGCGTTTGGCTGCATGGCCAGGCCTCCTGGATGCTGTTTCCGTGTCCTGTAGGTCCCTGGTCCTGCACACGTGTGTCTGTCCCAGCGCAGGACACAGAGAGGTGCAAACACCAAGCAAAGCACCAGTCCTTCCTCATCTACCGAAGCACCGCCTGGTAGACCAGAGGCAGAGCGCGGGTGATCCTTCTACTGCAGAGGCAGTGTGGCCAGAGGAAAGAGTGTTAGGATATTTTACTTCGTGGTTTTGTGACTTTGTGACTAAGTCCCTCGGGCCCTGTTGGCTTCTCGTCTATGATTTGGGAACAATGGGAGAAGCTACCTCATGGGATTAATTTGAGGGATAAATGAGATATAACATTTAATTGCTTAAAAATCGCGTCTGGTACATAGGAAACATCTAGCGGATATGAACTATGATTATTTTGGAGTGGAGACATGTTGGCCAAGCCATTTAACCTTTCTGAGCCTTCATTTCCTCAGCCGTAATGAATAGGTAACTTGCAATGTAAAATATAAAGTCTAAGTGTCTGGCACATAGTAGGTGTTCAATAAATGGGAGAAAATGTTGTTCTTATGTGTCAGCGATGCATTTCTGAGCACCTGGCCTTGCTCTTCTGCTCTCAAGTTCATGGCTGGAGAAATAGACGGGCTGATGGGGGTAAACTAGCTGTTAAACAGAGTTTCAGATCTTAGTGGGGCTTCCTCAGACACAACTACGTTTCTTCTTTGAGCAACTGGCCATAGGAGTTCAGGTGGACAAGAGAAGCCAAAACTGCATTAGAAAAGCTTTCTCTGCTCAGCTCTGAAGAGAGAAGATCTCCGATTCTGATTGTATCCGCTCAGTGCTTAGCTCTCCATTCACCCAGTAGGTTCCTTTTCTGTCCCGTAGCCACTTCTTGCATCGCTTCCTCCTTTCTTTGCCTGTCTTGCTGCACAGAGCCAGGCCTCATTCCAGAGGGAAACACGGGGAGTGTTGCTTCTTCCTCGGTGAAGTCAGCCACGTTTTGCTGGATTTGACTAGCGCTCTGGGTTTCAGAGAGTTGGAGGCTGAGGGTTGCCATGCAGATGCTGACTGAGAGGCCTGCGCTTGGCTCTCTTGCCCTGTCCCCATCAGCATGGGCAGGATCCTTGGTCTGAAGCCCTGCCGTCCTCAGCCTTCTCTCCCGTACACCCACTTCCCCAGGTGGGGACCTCCCTCTCACACGGCAGCTCTTTTTGGGTGTTGACAGCTTTCATTATCAGAAAATACCCACTGCCCTGCTATATCTTTTAGAGAATGAGGCTAATTTTATTTCCCTTGAAATATTTAAAGACAGCTCTCGTTTTTTCCCACCCGTTCTCCCCCCAATTTTTTATTTTTGTAGACTTAGGGAATGACTCCCCCCGCTCTGATATCTGACTTGGGTCTCGAGCTTGCCCATCCCTTTGGCTAGGTTTTTGGGACAATGGCATGACTGCCATTTTCTGTATATTCGTGGTACGCATCTGGTTTGCTCGGCCTTTCTGATGTGCTCTGTAGGACTTTTGTGAAATAAGTCCTGAGGCTTCGGCTGGAATTTACTTAGGGGAAAGGGTCACGAGTTCCTGGCTGTTGGATTTACTGGCAACACTGAGAACTAACTGTATGGACCTTTGATTCTGCTTTGATCTTTGAGTCTCAAAAAGGCATGATCCCCAGAGGGCAGGCAGGCTTTGGGGACATGGCAGTGTAGTTGGCCATGGCAGGGTGTTGAGGAAAGGGGTTGCAGAATTGTCATCTTGTAAACATCCGCTGGGCAGTACACTTTGGTGTTAAGAGAACACACTTGGCAGCCAGGCTGCCTTGGTGCAAATCTTGGCTCTGCTGCCTACCAGCAGGTCATTCCCTAACATCTCTGTGTCTCAGTTTCCTCAAAGTGGAGACATCATTCACAGAACCTCTCTCAGAGACATTGTGGGGAATAAATGAGCCAATAACGATAAAGCATTTAGTATAGTATCTGGCACATGGGAAGTACCAGGCTTGTACTTTTGTTCACTGCATGTTCACAACCATCATGCGAGGTAGAGAGTTTTATTCCTTTTTGTGCACATGAAGGCGCCGATGTTCAGAGAGGCTAAGTAATTTGCCTAAGGAAGTACAGCTGACAAGAGGTAGGAAAAAGGCTACATAGTCGGTCTTTCATACTCTGCTATTACTACATCCTAAAGAGAGCAGCCCAGTGAAGCCGAGACGTCTCGAAGGAAACAGGATACTAGGCATTTGTGGGCTGGGATCAGAAAGGAGACAAGAGGGCTTCCGAAAGAGCAATGCCAGACTTCCTCCACTTCCCTGCTTCATGGGTCACGGGCATGGGTGGACCGCTCCCTAAGGCCCATCCAGAAAGAACATCCTGTGACTCACAGCCACTTCTCCTTCCCCGCCTGAACCCTCCCCTCCCCTCCCCGGGAGCAGCCGCTGAAGGGGAGGTTGCAGCCCCAAACGTTGTGTTTTGTCCTTGTGGGTCCCCTGTGTGTCATCTTATTGAAAGACCTCATGACATATGTGTCAGTATCATGTCATCAAACTGGAAATTCCTTTAAATCTTTGGGTGACCGCAACTCACATTCTGTATGCACTTGTCAAAAGTTCTAATTTAGGGTCTTAGGGTTTCATATTTTGAAACCTTTCTACCTAACGTGAGAGGGTTGTCCTGGATCTGTCACAGCCAGCCTGCTCCCAGAGCCCGGGCCCTCGATTTCCGCCTGCCATGAGGCTGGTCCCCGCCAGGCTGCAATCCGGAGGCTGCCACGCTTGCTGCAGCGCTGTGTTGAAATCCTGCCTGAACGAAATCGAGTCAAAGGTCAACATTACCCAGGCAAGAATAGAAGGCACAATTGTACTCGACGACAGGACAGCGTGTACCCCGCAATATTGGACTGCCTTTAAAAAGTTTGCATTGCTCTCATCAAGAATAGTAGGAAAAAACATTATTTCTTGACTGTTGCTTTTCCAGTTTAAGATTTATTTATCATTTTATAAACATAAGAGTATATTTACAATCTTGGGTGACAAAGAGCAGTTTGGGAGTCCAGTTTGTTTCCAGTTGAGAGCTTCCCATTTCCGGTCCTCTTATCACTGCTGTACCGGCGCACGAAAGGGCAGGGCGATCTTAGAGTGACACTTTGTCCAGCGGATGAAGTCGAATCCGGTAATGATGCCCTTTTACATTTTAATATATCATTATCTTCAAGGCTTACACCGCCACTAGCAGGTTGATGTTATCATCCCCATTTTATTGATGAGGAAATTGAAGCTGGAAAGTGTTATGTCTGGTGTTATGTCAAGACCATTGAATAAAGTTGGGAATTGAATCCAGGTCTGTCAGCATCTTTCCACCACACTGTGCTGCCATGTTGCCTTATACCGAGAAGTAAGGGTAGCATCATTAGCTTGATGTCAAAAACATGATGAGGCATTTTTTAAAGAGTAAAGAGATTTATTTATTTCCTGATATAGTAGAAAGAGCCAAAGCTTTGTAGCCCAAGACCATTGAATAAAGTTGGGAATTGAATCCAGGTCTGTCAGCATCTTTCCACCACACTGTGCTGCCATGTTGCCTTATACCGAGAAGTAAGGGTAGCATCATTAGCTTGATGTCAAAAACATGATGAGGCATTTTTTAAAGAGTAAAGAGATTTATTTATTTCCTGATATAGTAGAAAGAGCCAAAGCTTTGTAGCCAGAGCCGATCGGGTTTCAATTTGCCACTTGCTTGCTCTGTAACCTTGAACAGGATATTAACCTCTCTGGGTCTGTTTTCACATTTGAACAATGAGAATAATATATTTCCTGGAAATTTGTTTTAGGGACTTAAGGGAATAATTCATATCACGTGTCTGATGATCAGTGAATGCTAATCAACTTCCACTACCCACAAATCATGACCTTTC